GTCAATAAGCTACACAACCAAATGCTAGTTAAGCTTTTAAGGGACCAGCAAAACAAAATGGTGCAAGCTTCTGTTCCTAGGGTATAAATCTGCAAACAATGGCTTGTGCTAAATTCCAAACTAGTTAAAGTCCATAATTACCTCTTTACCAACCTGTATAAATGAGTTTTTAGTAGATCCTACCTTGTAGAACAAATATCTTTACGGGAGCATTTAAGGTCTCAAAATACTCTATAGGATATCAGAAATTGTGGTCTTAACTAGCCTAGCTGTCTGCTACTTCAGGTAGTACCCAGTGGGCATTCATATTGGGGTTCAAATTTGTCTACCAGGTATTCTAAGGGGTATACCAGGTTCCTGAAACTAAGACAAGTGCTGCACTCTGAGCAGGAGCACCTGACTCTCACTCTTGTATTTTACAAGCCCAAGATGACTTCCTCCTGCTGTATTTGGCTGAGCCACTTGAGTGGAAGCCTAAAAAGGGGAAGGAACAGGGCAGAATAGTTCTAATTTTGTTTTCTATAAGCCTTCAGCTGAACACCTCCTGCATGAAGGGCCATATGAAGTCATTCCAGACCTACAGCAAACCAATCTGAATGTTCTTTCTATCACAGTGGAGTTTCAGCTTTCAGATGGATTTCCAGTGGTTGTCTCCTATTTATGTGGCAAACAGAGTAACTTGAATGAGTGGAGTGACTAATTATAACTGCAGCTTTCAAAACTTTTCTTGTGGTAACAAGTCAGCCTTTCTTCAATTTGAAGTGGAAAATACTTTTCCCCCTTACTGTGATTTAGGAAAAACCAAGACCCTCTAAATGATATGCAAAAATAAAGGGTCTTGCTCCAGTGCAGGAGGGAAAAACAGGTTGGTGAGAAGAGGGAAGAAAAAAGAGCAATGATGGAATGATGCAGGATCATGTCTTGGCCAGAGAAACATTTTCAGTGCTTCTCATTCAGCATGCAAACCCCAAACTACTAGCGAGAGCTCTTGGTGGAGGGCCCAGGCTATGGGATATATTGCAGACTTGAATGTAATGAGGAGTTACCAGAGTTAGCTCACAGGACTGCTGGTGGTGGTGGCAGTGGTGTAACTGAAGCTCACAAAGTTACTGATTTAGAGTGCTGTGAGACTACAGCACTGCTGCTGGTCCATGAGCTAGCTCTGTTCACTCACCACTTCCTGCCAGTCAAGCTGCCTGGGAAACTGTCATCCTTCGGCAGCATTCAGGGCAGGACAGAAACTAAAAAGTTTCTATGAGTTGCCTTTAAATAGTGAAAGAGTAAAACCAGTAAGTCAGAAAGGAAGGAGTTGGTTACTGGGGCACTCAAGTAGAAGAGTCTGCACTGAAAGCATTCAAAAGCCTGAAAGAAGGCTCCACAACTTCAAATGACTCTTACTTTCTCTGGTGAAAGCTAGATCATTATTTCTCACTGTGGGGGCTGGGGTGCCACAGGAAGTGTGAGGAGTTAAGTAAGAGCAGGCTCTCCCTGCACAGCAGCCCCTGCCTGGCCCTTCTGCAAGGAGGTAAGAACTATAATAAATATACTTGTTTTTTTGAAATGGGGTGCTGCTCAGTTCACAAGTTATGAAGGGATGGCTGGAGTCTAAAGAGATTGAGAACCACCAGGCTAGGTAGTAATTTAGCAGGCGCTCAGCTCCGGAGATCACATCCATGGATATCGAAGAACCATTTTGCACTACAGCTGTTTGAGATGCTCTGTTCACCTTTCTGGAGAGAGAGGAAGATGACCAAAATTGCAAATGTTTCTTTCCAAACAGAAACGCACTTTAAATTTAGATAAGCCCACTGGAGAAAGCTTCACAGCAAAATGCACTCCTTATTCCAGGGGTTGGATTAAAACACTAACTACAGGAAAATGCTTCTGTACATAACAGATATGCTGATGGGGACCAGGCAAGGTGTGTGCTATATCCAAGTACTTAGGATAGTCTCTTGCACTCCATTGAAGTAAACTGACTTTTTCACCTCAAGGATATTCCAATTGACAAAAGGGCCTTGGTTCAAATGTCTGGGATCAACTGAATACATTTATTTAAAAGCGACTTTAAATATTAAAAAAGTAGAAATTAACACATACAGTACTCAAACTGTCACATTAAATACATGTGAAGAGACAAGTGTACTGATGTTTGACCTTAACATTCAAATAAGAAGTCAAGATTTTAACTAGTGGCACTACCAGAGCTGATTTCTATACAACACGTCAATGTACTATGTAATAAAAAAATAAATAGCAACTGCTGTTCAACAGTAAATAAGACATCATTTGCAGAACATACTTCCCCCTCCTGGGGCAAAAAAACTAATTAGCTATTTGTCCATAAAGATCTAGACTTTCTCCAATACCATGTCATGTACAAAATTGCAGAGTGGCTCATTGAGTTTAAATAATACTGTACTTAAACTCAATCAATATCATACAACGTGTTTTTCAGGTTTCCTATGACCCATGATAAGCCAGAATAAACAGAACTCTTGTTCCTGATGGAACTCAATTTCAGTTTAAAAAATGCATGTATACTACTGCAAAGAGCGTAGAAAAGAATAGCATTTGACTCAACATCATTTTACATGTCCAAGTTTCTTTATACATTTTGCTTTTACCAGCTCATTTTGAGATCACTTAAAAATACACTTGACCACAAAAAGTAAATAGTTTTTGTTCTTTAATGCAACTTAAAACATTGTATTAATGGATAAAATGGAATGCAAAATAAACTCCGGGCCTGACTTCCTTCCAGAAAAAGTATGAGTCTGAAATACTGCAGGTAATGCTGTGGGAAAAATGCCAGCAAGCTTGGTTGCACTGTGCCCTGTTTTTTTTTTTTTTTCCTTTTCTTGTTTTTTTAAGAATAAACTTTTTTTTTTGTCATAGATGAATCAGCAATTGTTTAAAAGCCACTTTCCAATAACAGTTCCAATATTTTGCAATTATCATGCAGGTTTTATTAGTCTGATATTTAAATTTTCCATATTAGCCACATCAATAAGATTAAATATTCACTGACTACAGCTTTGTCAAACTGCTCTAAAAATGAAAGCTTTCAGAAAATGTGCATTGTGCTTTTATGAAATGAAGAATTCTCCTGGGTAGCCAAGATGATCTATGAAATAATGCAAGTTATATCTGTTATTGTGCCGAAGTGACATCCATCTTAAGAAATGCACCAGGCCTATATATGAAAAGCATGGAACCTGACAAAAACGGTTTATGAAGAAAAACAATTGTGTGTTAAAATGTAATATACTGTAGAAAATGAGAAAAATTAATGGAGTTGTATTTTAATAGTGTGTTAGATGTTTTGAATAGAGGAAGAAAATGAGAGAGTTAATTAAGTGCAAGGAATGTGTTTTCAGGCAATGCAATTTCATACTTCTGAAGCTACCAGGGGTCAAATGCAACCCTCAAAAGACTATTAGAAATTTAACATTATAATAATGTGTTTGCTGGCTGATGCCTGGAGGTAAGACTATAGACCACAATTTTGGTTTAATGAAGACTATTAAAACAACTTGATATTGGTGATTTGGGTTTCTATCATCAATAGCAGAAAAAGGGCAATTTTCACTCTGATTTTTTTGAAAAAAAATATCTACAACACTGAGTTTGCCAAATAACACACCACTTACAAAGTTTTACATTAGCTAATTATAACCTTCAACGATGTTGAAGCCGTTTTTAAATGACAATGTTCAGACAGCCAATTAGCTATAAACTAATACTGTTGCAGGCTCGCATTTCAATGTGAACAGTGATAAAATTGAAATGCTCTCTTGTTCAAACTTAGCTATGTGACTACAGTACTATTCATGTACAAAGGCAGGTTTTAAGTAAGCTTCTAAATGCATGCATAATGCCAAGAGTAATACTTTCTAGAAGTTAAATGAAAGAAGGTTTACCAAATTCCACGTCT